GCTGGCTTTATGTAGACACGAAGCTTGGCAACAAAAATTGTGTCTTTTAATAAAAAGAACGACCTTCATCACTGGTACCAAAATGACCCAATACTCAAAATTTCTTATGTATTTTTATGGAACCAATCAATTTTAAGTTTTTAATGGCTTTTTTAGGATTTATTTAGTATTTTGGCTGTGACTGTACTAAAAGAAATTGCACTTGAAGACCTAAGAGTGATTCTTAATGCAATATTTCACAAATGCATGGGGTGTCCGAAAACTTTTTTCCACCACTGTATGTTGGGTATTAGTGAGGGACAGTACTTACTGAGGGATGTTCTCAAACTCTGACACAGTGATGAACTCCATATGTCTGATGAAGTTCTTTATGGTCTTTTTGACATTTTCCAGCTGGGCTGGCTTGACATCGGCTGCTTCATTCTGGTTCATTACAGGTTCACTTCCACTGAGAGATGAGAGGAACATTAAACATCAGTCAGACAGACCTGAAGATTGTTTTCTATTAGCACGGCAGGGCTCAACAATAAGGATTGCCCGATTGCCCGGGGCAAGTAAAACTCAAGGTCAGGCATGTAAACTAACAACTCACTTGCCCGATCGGGCAAGTTGCTAAAAATAGTAAAAGTTAATAACTAATTGATAAAATAAATGTATTTTAAAACGTGCTCCTTCGGCTCTGATGCAGCGGTCTCTCTGCCTGAAGTCACAGGCACACGTAACAATGTCCTGCCCACAGCCCCCATTGATATTATTTTGCACGACAGACGCTTCATATAATAACATAACAATATACTATTTATGGTGTTATGTCATCGTGTCATTTCTGTCTCTACATGGTCACGCGTTAACAATTCTCCTCTGATCTCTGTATCGCGCACGGCGGAGTTCCGCCATACACAGGTGAGCACGCTGACCGAACCTGACCCCAAGCCTGGTGCTGTTTGTCAGCTGACAAAGTTATTGTTATGGACAGTGTGTAGCCTAAATAACCATTGACAGACTGATTACGCACAAACAGCTGCTCGCACAGCAGCGCAGCACGGCACTCATGCTGAGCTTGTGTTGCGTTCAGGCGTTGTCACGTAAATAACAACTTCCAACACTTAAATAGGTCATAGCACAAAACAGCAGCATGTCAAGTGACTTTTTACATTTATTATATTCAATACAATTGTATGTTCCTAAATCTGAGACACCTCATATGTAAGCTAGACAGACATTTCACCTGCTCATACTGTGCACATACTTAGTCCAAAAGAGCCCTTCTGGTGCCAGCAGATACATAGAAACATCCCAGCAGGCTGTGCTTTGCAAGCATACAAAAAAGTTTCACGTATGTGAAAATTATTTTTCATGAGTGTGCTTCACCTCCACTGCTACAACTCCATCCTAGGGGAAACACTGCTATGTGCGTTTTGTGCAACAGGTGGCTGTGGTAGTCTACTGGTAGAGTAGAGAGAGAGCTAAGTAGCGTTGAAGTAGATTAAAGCAGGGCAGAGAGATGGAAGCAAAATATATTAAACCAGGTGTTAATACAGCAGAACTGGAGAGAGGAGTGAAAAATAAATAGAGGTGGGCATGGCTCAAGTAGGGCGCAAAATTATAGACGGAGAATGATTGACAAATTTTTCACTTTAAGCCCTGACACTGTCATATTTGTGTAGGAATTAAGCTACAATACATGACATATGTTGTTTTAATTAATAAATACAGTGTGAATAAAGATTACATAACATAAAAATAACTGCAGTCTTTGTTAATTGATAGCCGCTTAAAGTAAACATTTTTTTTTAGGGCAAGTAAAAACTGACTTCGGGCAAGTAGATCTTTGACCAACTTGCCCGACCGGGCAAGTGAAAAAAAAAAAAAAAAACCTTAGTGTTGAACCCTGCACAGTATTTTACATTAGAATTAGCACTGTATTGTGCATTAGGATTGGCAGGGTATTGTACGTTAGGATTAGCACGGTATTAAAAATTAGGACACGTGAATCGTCAAAACAAAATAAAACAAGCAAAAAAACCACACTGTGTCCATCCTCCCGTCTCTCCCCATATAGCCCCAGTGAGTAAACAGCTTCATTTTGAACCGCAAAATTTCTTTAGCATTGTTAACTGTTGGTAAACCTGGCTGTGCTGATGCTGCTTATGGTGCTAACAGTGTTGGCACCTCTGGCTGTGCTGATGCTGCTTATGGTGCTAACAGTGATACATTCAATGCTAAAGAGGTTTTGCAGCTCAAAATTAAGGTGCTCAGAGACCAGAGGTTGGGCACGGTGTTTCCAGAGCAACGCTGTTGGGTAGGGATGGCGTTATGGTGGGAATCACCAAATAAGTGTCGCCACTAGCTTGCTCCACCAGACCCAGGTGGTGCACAGTGCAGTTAAGTGAAGAGCAGCAAAATTAACCTAAAGACTGACATGCTTAACTGGTCAAAAATATGGTCGGCCGTTAAAATACGAAAAGGCCACTAGGCCAGTGTTCAATTGGAAAGCATCAAGCAAATAAAGTATCATATTCGTGTCCTTACTTTACTGGGCCTTTCTTCCTGAGCATGTGAGCAGGAATGTTTTCCTTAATGTGCTGGATGTCCTTAAAATCCTTCTGGAATGACTCCTCAAGTTCCTGAAATACAAACAAGGTTCTCACTGTCATTAAGTATGTTTGGTGTCATTCAGAGACATTACAGATTCTGTCCAGCACAGAGCAAAGACAGAGTAGTTGTGCGCACATTCAATCCTGCTTTAGGTCAGGTGCTGGATAATGGGGGTCCATGCAGAAAGAAGAAGAAAATTCTTTTGAAGTTGCCTGAGGAAGACCATTTGGGTCGAAACGTTGCTTTTTTAGTCATTAAAAACTTACTGGGAGCTCTAATTCAGTGTGCGGATTTTCTTCTTCTTTCTGCAGCACAGAGCAAAGACAAGTCCAGTTCACTACATACTTTGTCACTATTCTTTAATAAGAGCAGTTTAAAGGCAAATATTATACTCCTTTTCTACATGTTCATATAGGTTATAGAGTTCCCTGAAACATGTCTTTATAGTTTCTTGCTAAAAATCCACCCCAGCCCTGGATTTCAGCATGCCTATAAACCCCTCTGTTTCAACCCTGCTCAGAAAATGCTGTTTCTGTGTCTATAGCTTTAAATGCAAATGAACTGTGTCTGAGCACGCCCATCTCTGGAAGAAGGTGTATCTTGAGCTTAGCCTTCTGGGCCAGCAGCAGGTTATGATATTTGCGTGGCTGTATAGATACGGCCGATGTTAGAGTTGCTCATCATAACTGCTTCCTGTATATAGTCATCTATTTTGTATATAACAATGAACTTACACCACTGTAATTCAGCATAACATGTCTGTCAGCATTATTAATCTTTAGTCAGTTTTCAAAGGACGAGGCTGTTTGCAGTGTTTTGTACACTGCACTGTTCTCCATTATCGCATTATATGCAATAAGTTACTTCGTATTAATTACCTATATTATATGCACTTGATATTTTGCCAAGCTCACTTTTTATCCACCTCAGCATGTCCACTGACTGTTAATTTTTTGAATTTCACAAGCTTTATCTTTTGGTGAAATGTTCCCATTTTTCTATATATTTTGGATATGTGCTCCTGTGGAAACTGAAAATATCTTGGAGATACCACAGCTAGCATTCTCAATAGCAAAACTAATACAACTAATTTGTCTTGATTACATGTTGCATTTATAAGATAACATAGTATTTAGCATTTGTAATTCACTGTAGGTTACCAGACAGCTACGGGAGATCGAGGAAGAGCTACCATGTATGGTAGACCATTGTGGGTTGGAGCCTTTCCCTGAATGTGTTCTCTCTACAGAACGCCTACAACAGTCCTCACAAAGATTCAAGATGGCGGACGCTGACACATTCTGGCTACTACTCTGTCTCTGATCTGAAAAGTTTTGCGGTTTTGGCGTTTAATCTTTGCATCTGATTTTATAGCTTGGTTAACTGTCCTGTGATTCCGTGAATACAAGCTACCCGTCATCCGCCTATCCAGACAAGCACTTTAACTGGACTTGCATCTAAAGATCAGCTGAAAGTTTTACCTCCCAAGGAGCTCCCACCTGGGACTTATTCACAGCGTGGCTTCATCATCCTGCTACTGGAGCTGTAATTTCTCCAGCTTCTGCCTAACTGCATCGCTGGCCAGCACAAGCCCTCCTGCTTTTCCCGCCGGGATCTTTTCGTCCCGGTGTGGCTAGCCCAGTCGTACTCTGGATGCTCCCCTCTGCTAGCCACCACACCACCATGCTGGCCGTCACTTTCCAAGCAGGATCACAAGGCTAACAGACCGGTAGCCCCACGGGGCTACCTCTTCTCCTCTCCAGACTGTTAGTGTGCTGCAGCTGCTATGCTGTGGATTACCCCATGGATGGTCTTGGGCATATCGCTTCTCCTTTCCTGGACATCCGGCCCTTGGCTGCAAGTTAATGCAAGCCTTGTGCTAGTGTTCCCTGACTGGACCATGCCGCCAAGTACTCCGCCACAGAGCTCCGACTCTACTACAACCACCAGCGTCCTGACTGCATGGACTTTCTAATAAAAGCTGGAATACATCGCAGAAGCCGTCTTCCACACAGAGGCTCTGGCCGTGTGTGTATACATATAACTTCACGTCCCCTTACTCCATTCCATATCTGTGGTCCTGGTGCACACCAACTTCCTCATTACATCATCACAACAAACAACAACAACTGAATCTGTCCAATCTACGTCCCCTTCCTCAGTCCTCACAAACTATCATGAAGCAACGTCACCTGAAACTGGCCTTGCCTAACACCTGCTCACTTAACAACAAAAGCCTCATTCAGAATTAATGTATCACTGATAATAACCTGGATTTCCCGTCTCACTGAAACCTGGCACAAACCCCTGGAATATTTCTCACTCAATCAGACCACTCCCACAGGATACACATGCATTGATCAACCTCGCCTTGAGGGGCAAGGCGGTGGTGTTGCCACTGTTTATAGAAAGGACATTAAAAAAAAAAACACCCTCCCCATTCCTGCCACTAATTGATGTGAACACATCGCCTTCAAACTCTCTAGTCCTACTCCCTTAGTCACAACCATTATCTACAATGACATACTCTCCACCTGTCTCAACTAGCTCCCCTAAAAACTAAAACAGTTTCATTCACATACTCAGCCCCCTGGTATACTCCTAAAGTCCACCAAATGAAGTCCTGTACACTCCAGCTCAAAAGACTCTCCAAAACAAAAAAAAAACGGTTTGACATTGCATCTCAAAGCCTATACAGACTATCTTCAGAAATACAAAACTACTCTCACTACAGCCCAGTCCACCTACTACTCACAGCTCATACACTCTGGCTCCACCAATCCCAAGTCTCTCTTCTCCAACATAAACAAATTTCACAAACCCTATGACAACACCTCCACATCATTCCAGTTGACAAGTGTAACAATTTCCTTTAATTTTTCCAGACAAGAACTGACTCCATCTACAGCAACCTGTCCTCAGCTGTGACCCCTGTCCTCAAAAAACCTGGACTTGATCCTGATGACATGAGTAATTTCCGACCCATCTCACATCTCCCCTTTCTGTCAAAAATACTGGAATGTGCTGTTGCCTCTCAACTTAAAACCCACCTCTCCACCAACAACCTGTTTGAACCATTGCAATCTGGCTTCCGCTCACAGCACAGCACAGAACCCACCCTCCTCAAAGTCACCAACGAGCTCCTCCTTGCCTCAGACTCTGGTCACCTCTCAATTCTCATCCTTTTCGACCTTACAACAGCCTTTGACACAATCAACCACACAATTCTCATTTCCTGTCTCGAACCTTCCCTCGCCAGTGCTGCCCTCTCCTGACTAAGGTCATACCTCACAAATTGACATCTGTTCATCAATATTAACTGCACTTTCTCCCTTGCTCCTCTGTCCCAAGGTGTCCCCCAGGGTTGGGTGCTTGGTCCCCTCCTATTCATCCTTTACATGCTCCCCCTTGGCAACATCATTCGCAGCCAACCACCTGCCTCAACGGTATCAGGTCCTGGATGCAAGCCAACTTCCTTAAACTGAACTGTGAAAAATCTGACATTATCATCATCGGTCCCAAATCCCTCACCAATACCTCTCAACTTCTGCCTCACCATTGACAATTCCACTCTGCATTTCTCCCCACACATTCACAACCTCAAAGTCATTTTCAAATACCAACTTCTCATTTGAAAGACACGTCAATCACATCACCAGTACTGCCCTCTTCCACATTAACAGCATTCTTTATGGTAATGCCCGTCTGCTCACCAATTCCCGATCCCGCAATCAGATCACCCCTGTCCTTAAGGAACTCTACTGGCTCCCTTCCCCACAACGCATCCAATTCAAAGTCCTTCTCCTCATTAATAAGGCCCTCGAAAACCAGGCCCCCTCCTACCTCACTATATTCCACCGCCACACTCCTTCCCACGGCCTCTGCCTCTCTGATGCCAACCTCTGGGGAAGGCGACAGGGCCTTCTCCAGAGCTTTAAATGTGTGAATGATGTGTGTATTTTATTGTAGTCTATTTTATGATTGATTTAACCAATGTAAAGCGTCTTTGAGTACCTTGAAAAGCACTCTATAAATAAAATGTATTATTATTATTATTATTATAATTATTAACATATACCATGCTCATTATGGTCCTCTACAGCTGAGAGGAATACATCAGTAAATTATGTTTTATGCTTCAATCTAAATCAAAGATGTTATGCAGTCTTCCTTTACTTCAGTGGGCATAATATTACAATGGTAACAACACACCACAAATGTAGTAACCCCCCCCAAATAAATTTGTTTAAATGTTTTTTGAGTTACATCAGCAGACAGTGTGCATATGAATTTACAGGAGTCATTTCTTTACAAACGGTCAAGTATTTATTGAAATAACGCACTTATAACCAGCGATAAAAAACTGTAGGATACACCAAATCTTTATAACAAAGTATGACACACACCAGAGATAAATGTTTTGAACACTAAATTTCCTGTCCAATTGTTGTAATTGTTACAGGTATCTAGCCTACAGGAGCTTTGTGAACTGGTGCTGGAGCTTCCTTGGTCACAGAGTCCAGGTAGTCATTCCAGCCGGTGTGGTCCTATGCATCTGCACAGTGGTTCCTGACGCCCAAAGCCACTACATGGGTTTTAGAACTGTGCAGTGAAGTCCTCTGGAATGGGGATGGCCAACACAGCATCTGTGTACAGCGTCAGGTCAGGTGAGACCTTTTTGGTCCACCGTCTCAGCCACATACCCTGTTTGATAAAACACATTTAGTTTACACATTTTAATTTCTTAAAGGGCCAGTGTGTAATATTTGGCATGGTTTATTGTCAATCTGAATCTGAATCTGAATATTCTACCCATTAATATGTTTATACAAGTGTATAATCGCTATAAAATAAAATTCGTTTGGTTTTCGTAGCCTTATAATTATGCTTTTATATATATATATATATACAGTACAGGCCAAAAGTTTGGACACACCATCTCATTCAATGCGTTTTCTTTATTTTCATGACTATTTACATTGTAGATTCTCACTGAAGGCATCAAAACTATGAATGAACACATGTGGAG